GGTATATTCTCTATCTGTGTCTCTTTGAATCTTATCTCAATGGTCACACTGGGGAAACTGAGGTAATATAATTTATTTTCCTGTCTGTCTTACTCACTGCGCTTGAACTTTTTAAGGCCAGTTACTCTTTTATTCATATTTGTATACAACACCTAACGTAAGTCTCAAGAAATACTTGTATTCAAATAAACAAAGAGTGTGCCGACAATTGCTTTTAAATTGCTGCCTACCTGGAACCTAACTGATATCCACAAAGTTTTGTTGAAGGAGTCTTTGAAATTGCCAACTTCTCAGAAGGAAGCCAAAGATTCAGAGAAGAAACTGTCTACAGAGCCAATAGTCTGCATGAACAACAGTATCACCTACCTTGAGACTAGAAGAACTACATGGTGTTACTACTACCGACCATTCCAACCAGTGACTCAGTGGATGGTTCCGGATAGAATGAGAGAAAAATGTAGAACAAAGCTAAAACTCCAAAAGAAAGGTCAGACTTACTGGATCGGTGGAGACTAGATGAACCTCTGACACTATCGCCCTGAGATACTCTTTAAACTTGGAACTCAGACAACTGCCAGAGGTCACCTTTCAGCCAAATGACAGATTGGCCTATAAAACAAATAATATCACCTGTGAGTACAGTACTTCTCAAAGTAATTATCTAGATGAAATCCAATGGTTAACATTTACCATAGACCAATGATGAGAAGGCTAAGGGGGACAGGGAAGCTCGATTAATAGAAACAAAACAACCAAATGGAAATAATGAGAATGTCGATATATTGTGAAGAATGTAATCAAGGTCATTGAATAATATGTATATAAATTGTTAAATGAGAACCTAATTTCCTGTGTAAATTTTCACCAAAAACAAAATAAAATATTAAAAAAAGAAAGAAACAAACAAACAAACCAAAAAATTGCCAGCTTCTCTATAGGACTTAAAAACATATCACAAATAGAAACTCCAGATCCAAGGTTTCACACAATGTCCCAGACCACAGGCAATGTGACAATATCTGGCAGGATGCTTGCCATTCCTCCCTGAAACTAGTTGGAGAAAACCCATTCATGAATTTCTATTTTTGTTGTTTCTCTACTCTAGGAATTGGTCACTTCTTGCTTGAGTGATTCACTCAGAATGTTTCTCTTCTTTTTCTTTTTTCTGTGACCTTTGTTGCTTTAATTCTATCTTGTGTGTTTGTTTGTTTGCTTTTCTTGGGGGGTTATGTGTATATTTGCTTCTTATGAAAGACAAAATCAACATATTATAACTGGGAATGTGAAACTGTAGAGTAACAAAATTGAGACAAGTTTAAAATAAAGCTTGAAACTAGTTTAAAATAGCCCTGTTAGTCCCTAACTTCCTTTTTCTATTTAAATACACTTGATTTCATGTCTTACGACTCTAGAAAGTTTTTAAGCAACCAAAGGATGCTTTATGGCAAATATCTGCGGGGAAACGAATCAGTTGATGTAAGAAAGCACTTCAGAAAACTAGTTTAATAAGAGAAAACTCAAGGTTCCAAAGGTTGCCTATTCAGTTTACTAAGAAAGGGAGAAATCTTTTAAGCAAAAAATCTTGGTCATCTGAATTAGCTATTAGTAATACCTAGCATTGTACAGTGCTTTCACAGATGTCTGTCTTCTTCCTTCTCTAGTGTTCTCCCCTGGCTTGATTGTCCCCCTGAGGAGTCCCAGGGTTTTACCACTGGGATGATGCATGTCATGAACAACTGATTTTTCCAAAGTCTGTTGTGTCCATGAGTCACATGTTTCCTTAGGTCACAGTTTTCTTCATGACCCCACACTCACTAGTGTTTTCTCAACAATTTTAGTTTCTTCCATGCCCCTGTAAGCCAGCCTCTCCCCTTTTGTCCCTTTTGATGTCTGCTCTTTAGGAAGTTGAAGGAACACTGAGAAGTTGGAGGAGTACGAAGGACATGGTGGAATCTGTGCAACCCATTGGACTCAAGTTCTTCCATGACTCCACATTTCACTCAGTAGTGAACTCCTCCGCATCTTAACTATGCAGAGAGCTCTGGGCTCCATCCCTGTCCACAGCTGGTCCCTTTCACATTCTTAAGAATTCTCACCTCATTCCTCCTAGAAATCTCAACTTGCTGGCCTGCCCACCTTCACATCCACCCCTCCCACCATCACCCACTGCCCCTTTTTCCCCAGAACAGCTCCTCCTATCCTAATTCCTGCTCTTCATCCTCTCACTTCCTGTTGGACATTGTTCCATTACATCATCTCCTTCCACAGGAGAGGCTCTTGAAAACTCAAACTTCTCCATTTCTTTCTCTCTCATCTCTAGGTTTGAAGGCACGAGTCCACGTTTGAGCTGTGTTTGTCCAATCCTTTGTACCTCTTAGTGATAAATATTAACAAATTTCCCCCTTTCCCCCTCTCAGAAAATGGGTAAAATATGATAGAGTAGATAGATTTGGGAGTTTCAATTTTCCCTGGAAATTAGGGAAGTAGAATGAGAGTACCAGATCCTCAGGAGGAATTGTGGTGGGCTCTGTAGATGGAGAAGGGAGAGTCTGGGGAATTTTCACATCAGTTACTTCACTGGAAGTTAAGAGGCACCATAGGATTTGATACAGGAAATTAGAAGCCATAATATTAAATTAGCCACAGGGAGCAGCATGAAGAAGAGACCATTTCCTGTTTCTCACGTTCTCTCTTCCCCATTCCATGTGTTCTGGTCAAGTTCTGAGAGTAGAGGATCATCAGCTCCAACAGGCATCCTGTCAGCCTATAATCACAGCTTGTCCTCATTACTCATCCGCTCCTCTGGCCATCACTGTGCATGGGATGGGGGCTCTGGCCTGGTTCTGTGGAGGGGTCTTTACCTGGAGCGCTGATTCTTTAGAGTGATCTTGGGATCCTGGACATCATAATTACCTTTATCAGTTCTCTAATGCTGAAATGCAATCTTGTCTTCCCCTCCTGAGAACCTTGCTTCTCCAAAATCATCCTAGACTACAAAATACCATTGTCCCCAACAGACCCACATACTGATCCCAAACATTAGCTTGTTTCCTTTTTTCCCTAGTAGAAATAGAGCCTCTTGTGAGATGTGGGACCATAAAGCTTTTCTCAGGGAGTGGACCATTATGGGAAATGCGCCCTGGAGTCATTCCTCTGAGCCAGCCCTCCAAGAGCAGCAACTATGCACTTACCTGGGGTCTCCCTACCCTGAGCCAAAAGGGAGTTCAGCATCCTCAGTGACACCATCAGAGCTAC